CCCCGTGCGCAGCCACCGAGTCTGCGGCCAACCCGTGCCACGCGCCTGGGCTTCCCCGCACATCTGCGGAGCACGGCGCACGGCCCCGGCAGCACACGCCAAGCGTACCCTATACGTGTTTTACACCCCAGGAGCTGCAGCTAGCGCACCAAACCCGAAACACATTCTGAATTTAGTCTGTTAAAAACTCACGGCTCTTAGCAACGCCTCAGGCAAACCAAACCGCAGCTCCCGCTGCCCACGTCGGGATACAGCCGACAGCTGAGCGACAGGAGACCCCGGGCAGTGTCCCTGCCCCCTGAAAGCATCTGCGACGGACCAGCCGGGGCGGCACCGACCAAACGAGCTGTGGGTACCAGGGGAACAACACACAGAGCCAATTGTCTTTTTTTATAAAAGTATTTTTAATAAACTGATGGATTTAAGTTTAAGATGCTAGACAACTTGTTGCCATGTACAGGTAACAAAAGTCAAAATTCTTTGAATTTTATACAAATACTATGTAGTACAGTAAACTTGAATACAAGTTTACAAAAAATGCATCAGTGAATATTCAGCTTGTAACCAACTTTCAACAGTGAAAATTATCATGTATCAACAGTGATCAGAATTGCATTGCAAACTTGAGAAGTAATGCAACTACGTTTTTACCAAGCGACTCTGAAGTTACTGGTGCACGCTGACAGTACATTGGATTTTTTTTTTTTGGCTTGCTGAACAGAAAATGGCATTTAAATAAAACGACTTTGAGTTAAAGAACATAGTATGTGTCAAAAGTACTATCTCACAGAAAATTAAACAAGAATGAGAAAGTAAACAGAGCAGAACCCTGAAGCAGTGATATTTTTCTACCCGTTTCGATGGGAAAGACTCCACAGGTGTCCAGCTTTCTCACAGCATTTTGGAGCGTTCCGGTCCTAGCACAGTGTGGCCGTTGGTCGACTACAGTAATCCCTGCTCGGCAGTAATGCTGGTGAAAGGTAACTTGCTCTATTGCTAACAAACCGGAGTAGCCACGGGCAGGGTGACTTCTTGGAGGCATCCAGTGGAGGCTGAGCTGACAGCACGCGACTGGCGTTGCAGTGCCGCGTGCCTTGATACGATACCCAGCTGCCTTCAGGGTTCAGGCGTCAGTTTCCTCACAGGGTTTACAAATGGGTGGTTTTGAAACCAACAAACAAACAAAAAAATTGAGCATAAGACAGTATTTTCCCCTGTACAGCTACCAAGAAAATGAATGTTTTTGTTACAAACTTTCCAGTCTGCTTTATAAAAAATAGTTTCAGTTTTGCTTCTAAATAAAAACTGTGCTGTGATCTGTCACGTTCTTGCATTGTACATGCTGTAGTTGTGTGTGTCAATGAAGGTGTAGAGATTTATGACCTAGCGCTCTGGATAGATCAGAAGCCTAAAAAGCTGATTTTGGTACATAAAAGTTAGGTAGCAATGAAAAGTCATTCTATTTATTTTTCCTAAAACCTAGGAAAAGCTACAGTACATTGCTAGATCAGTGGCCTCAACCCTGAGCTGAAATAAAGGACCTGCCTTGGCCAAGAGCCTTAGTCACGTTACTACCACAGCTGCAGAGCAGAGACAAAATAACCTGTCTGTGGCCTGTTGTCTCAGCTGGAAGTAGTGCAAGATTCAGTTCTGTAATGCTTGAGAGTTGACTGGAGACCACCATATTCATTTTCACTACAGGAAAAAAAGGAAAGAGAACTCAAATTCAGAGATTCAAGTGACAAAAGCACTCAACAGGGACAGTCAGTACGTCCAGCTTCTGGAGACCACACAGAGAACGCAGTCAGTGCTGGAGCTGTCAGTCTCAAGCGTTTCCCACTTGGTGGAGGAGGTTATTAAAACACGTACCAAACTACAGTCGAAGAGACTTCTACCATTATCCCACTCTTCCCAGAGAGAGTCTCCCTTGATTTTACCCCCCAGAACTGGGCGTCTCCCCCTGTCTGTACCTTTGCTGCATCGTAGATGAGTGAAAACCTGAAGACTGTCTGACAAAGGGCCCAACCCAACTGCGAGCAGAAAAACTTCCGCTCTTTTCTAACAGGAGTTGGCACTGGCAATTGGAAGAATTCTTACTACGACACAGCCTACTGCACCTTCCTGGAGGGTTCAATGGCACCGACTACCCATGGCTAGGAGCATTCATAACACCAAGCATTCTTCCCTTGTAAGAGGGTTTTGTTTTTTTCTTTTAAACAGCAGAAACTGTAGAGTCAGTATTTCACTTAATGGAAAAACTAAACCCAGCAACAGACTGAAAATAAAGCTTGTAAGAATCGTTTATACTTCTAGTAACGCACGCTTCGTTGTGAGCTGATCAGTTTACGGATGGTATGTTTTTTGTTAGTTTAAGGCAGCAAGTCATTCAAAATACACAAGCTCACCTCCCTCATGTTTGTGCTACTGTATCCTTATGTGCACAAGAGAACCTCACTAATTTACACTAATGACTTGGAAGAACCATTAATTCTCTTGGTAAGTGAACAAGAATAAGGCATTCCATTATATATTCTGATCACTAATTATAATTTAGCTCTAATTATAATCTACCAGCAAACATACTTCTGTGTTTTAGAAAATAATATCTCTTACCTTCAGATATAATTACGTGTGCAGATTAGTGGGTTCTGCTGTGTAAACACGCAGGTGCATAAGCAATTTTCAGGTTTTTCTTCATTACATCTGACAAGAAAGTTAATGCCACAGACAGAGACTGTGGGAAAATAAATTAGGATTGCTCTATAATTTGTGCGGATACGCACAACTGGGCAGTAATTTATAGCTCAAAAAAAGACATGAATGTTTACAAACTCAAATGAAGCAAAATCAGCAGCAAAAAGCAAGGCCGTTCCCCAACCATAAATGGCTTGTATTACACTAAACCAAACTATGTGAAACCAAAAAAGAATGCAAGTACTAACTTTCATAGACAAGACTGAAATCAAGTAAAGCAAACAGTGAAAAATTTGTTGATGCTTCTAACAGATGATATTCGGGTGTCTAAATCCTGGTTGAAGTAGACTGTAAATACAGACAGCAGACAGGATGCAAACTACATGGCTGAATTACAAAAGAAAAAAGGGATCAATGTGCATTGTAATGAGAGAGACATTTCCCTTCATATGTGCAAAAATCCACAGTTTCATTAATGTAGAGGTCATACTTCTAGCAACAGATCTTAGACAAAACCAGTCTCCCTACATCCTGGAATCTACCTGTTCACATCAGCCACTTTAAGCGCACAGTACCCTGTTCACATAATATAGTATTCAGCAGTTTCTGGCATTTCTCAGAAATTTAATGTTTGCCTGCCTCAGATCTCGAAAACAAAGGGGAGAGTTCATCCAGGGCATCATGCCACTGCTTTTGAGTTGTACCAACAGTTAAGTCAAACTCAAATCCTCTCTTCCATGGTGGCAGGAGTCCTTACAGGACCTGTAAACAGCAGTACACAATACTGTAAACAAATAATTTAAGTTCTGCTTTATACAAGATGTTAAGTTAACCCAGGTCTACCAAACAGGTGAAAATGAAAAGGGTGGCTTCACACAAAATCCTTCCCTTTTCTCCCAGCAATTCTTTTCACTACATAAATAATCCTGAGCTGAAATAGGCTGATGAGAGCCTTTTTTGCATATAAAAACAACGTTCTAGAGTCAGCTCTCATGTTCTGTCAGGAAGTCAATTGCTGGAGAGATTAAGCTGAAGTATTTCAAACCATTTGTTACTTTGGAGGAGGACTTATAATTTGGTGTGGCGTCCAGTTCTCGACCCGGATGCTGAGCTTGCCAAGGAAGCTGATGCTGCTGCGTCCTCAGCTTCCTCCAGCTCCTCATGCAGCTCCTGGCTAACACTCGACTGGAGGGCTGCAGGGGTCAGCCACTCCTTCGGCAGACAGCTCTGCAGAAACGGTATACAAGAGCTGAAGTAGGCAAGGCGATTCACCCATCGTGGAATCTCTTTTCCACACAAAATCTAGAGGGGAAGGGAAAAGAAAGGATTAATTTGTTTTCTGGATTCAGCAGTGACAAAACTACAGTACTGCAAATAAAAAGCAACGGCTGCAGCAGCCTTACGATTTACATGTCACAAATGCCAGTCAAGAAGCACTCTAGTTAGCTGCACTAAGACAACTTTCTCCATCAGCAAAAGCAGCATCCCAGGTCACACAAGGAGACCTGTTTTCCACTGTGAGAGTTTGACACCGTGGTTCTACACTTTTTTTAGAGGTCCTGAAAATCCTAACCACCTCGCTCTTTTTGAATAACTTCTATAAAAGGCAAAGAAATGAGTTCAGATGTGCTTTCTATTCATCGCTAATTCCTCAGAAACCAAAACTGCAGCAGAAATCTGACTACTACAGAAAAGCAGCCTGAAATCAAGCGGTCAAAAAGACAGCGCCAATACTACAGTTACACGGAGTTACGCAAACACCTCAGGATATTTACTGTGACGGCCTCTGATGGCTACGCACAAGATGTCACCACACAGGCCAAGCACACACACTTGGGTCCACTGGGACAAGAGAAGCTATACAATGCAAAGCTGGTTTCAACTCCTCAAAAATACATAAAGCTGCATTAAATACTTGTTTTTACTGTACATCAGGCATCAAATGGTGTTGTTGTCACTACTCAAGGAGTGACCTATTTTACTTATTACCTCCATATTCACTTCTTGTACACTTATTCCAGTGCAAATCTAGAGAAAATCATAGCTAATGGGAGCAATACTCTGCTGCAACTGAGCAGCATTTAACTTGTAATTATACAGAATCATAGGTTGGAAAAGACCTCTAAGATCATCAGGTCCAACCATCCACCCAACACCACCATGCCTGCTAACCCATGTCCCGAAGTGCCACATCTACACGTTTTTTGAACACCTCCAGGGATGGGGACTCCACCACCTCCCTGGG